CGATGCTTCCGGTCCTTGGGCCGGCCCCGGTCTTGGTCCCGATCTTTGGAGGGCAGGTCACCGGACTGGGTGGTCATGCTCAGGTCTGTCCCCAGACCTGTATGGGAGATGATGGTGAGAGAGGAAGAGGGGCCCAAGAGAAGGGGAGGCAGGCCCGGAGGGTCTCCAGGCCCTGGTTTCCTCCCTACCCAGGAACTCCCTTCACTTTTATTTTTACATTTCTTTTCAGCGTTCTCAGCCTCTCCGCGGTGGTACTCATCTGAAAGTGTGACCTTCCACGCTATGGGTTCCAGGAATCAAACTCAGGCTTGGAAGCAAATGTCTTTACAGGCTAAGCCATCTATCTTGCTTGGCCCCTCCCTGTTCTCAGTGTTGAGTATGATCGGTTTAGGACCTTGCACATGTTAGCCATACAACATCCCACTCAGCCTGGGGTGTTTCAGTCATGGGTAAGTGGTTATGCGAGTCTGCTACTCTTGCATAAGATCTAAGTTAGGCCGGACAGTGGTGGCCCACGCTTTTAATCCCAGTACTCGGGAGGCAGAGGCAGGCGGATCTCTAAGTTCGAAGCCAGCCTGGTTTCATCTAGTGTTACACAGAAAAACTCTGTCTTGGAAAACAAAACAAAAAAGACCTAAGTTAGTTTCTTGCATCCATGTCCTGAAGCTCATAACTGCCTGGTCCAGGGGATCCAATATCCTCTTCTGGCTTCTGGGACACCTGCATTCATGGTTGCATAACCAATCCCAGCACTTGGGAGGCAGAGGCAAGTGAATTTCTGAGTTTGAGGCCAGCCTGATCTACAGAGGGAGTTCCAGTACATCGAACGACTTCCAGTACAGTCAGGGCTACACAGAGAAACCCTGTCTTAGGGGAGAAAACAACCAACAAAAGACTCAACCAACCAAACAGCCAAGGCATGCCTTTAGTCCTAGCATTCAGGAGGCAGAGGCAGGAGAATCTCTGTGAGTTTGAGGCCATCTTGGTCTATCTAGTGACTTCCAAGCCAACTAGGACAACATAGTGAGATTTTGTCTTAACTAAATCTTAAATTTTTGTATGTAAATTTTTGTGTGTAATGATGTATGTGGGTGCCAGGCGTTGGTGGCGCACGCCTTTAATCCGAGCACTTGGGAGACAGAGGCAGGCGGATCTCTGTGAGTTCGAGGCCAGCCTGGTCTCCAGAGCAAATATCAGGATAGGCTCCAAAGCTACACAGAGAAACCCTGTCTCGAAAAACCAAAAAAAAAAAAGATGTATGTGGGTGCATGTGGAGGCTGGCACAATCTTAGATGTTGGCACTCGTCTTCTGTCTTATTTGAGACAAGGCCTCTTGTCTTGACATTGCTGTGCATGTCATGCTAGCTGGTTCAAGAGCTTCTGGGGACTCTCATCTCCCTTTCTCATCTCACCTTATGAGGGCCGAGATGACAGATGTGCACTACCCTGTCTGTCTTTACAAATGAAGGTCCTCATGCTTTCGTGGCAGCTGCTTTACCTTTGAGCCTCTCTAGCCCCCACTAGCCTGGAACTCACTGAGAGCTTAGACTGGTTAGCATGGAATCATCTGGGATCCACCTTCTGCCCTCTCAGCACCAGGGTTACAGATACACACTGCTATGCCTGACTTTGTACATGGGTGCTGGAGTCTTATGTCACTTTGTCATTTGTGTGAAGCACGTACTTTGCCCACTGAGATATAACCCAGCCCTCTTTCTTTCCTTTTTTAAAAAATATTTTAAATGTTTTATTTTTTTTTCTTTCTTTCCTTTTCAGACAGGGTTTTTCTGTGTAGCCCTGGCTGTCCTGGAACTCACTCTGTAGACCAAGCTGGCCTTGAACTCAGAGATCTGCCTGCCTCTGCCTCATGAGTGCTGGGATTAAAGGAGTGTGCCTGACACTCTCTCACTCTCTCTCTCTCTTTCTCTCTCTCTCTCTCTCTCTCTCGCTCTCCTTCCTTTCTTTTTCCATTTTTTAATTTAAATTAGAAACAAGATTGTTTTACATGTCAATCCCAGTTCCCTCTCCCTCCCCTCCTTCTCTGCCCCCCCCCAACAACAACCTACCTATCCCATACTCTTTCTGTTCCCCAGGGAGGGCAAGGCCTTCCATGGGGAGGTCTTCAGAGTCTGTCACGTCCTTTGGGATAGGGCCCAGGCCCACCCCCTTGTGTCTAGACTCAGGGAGTATCCCTCTATGTGGGATGGGTTTCTAAAGTCCATTCCTATGCTAGGGATAAGTACTGATCCATTACAAGAGGCCCCATAGATTTCCGAGGCCTCCTCACTGAGGCCCACGTTCATGGGGTCTGGATCAGTCCTATGCTGGTTTCCCAGCTATCAGTCTGGGGACCATGAGCTCCCCCTTGTTCAAGTGATCTGTTTCTGTGGGTTTCTTCTTTCTTTCTTTCTTTCTTTCTTTCTTTCTTTCTTTCTTTCTTTCATGTTTTATTTATTTATTATGTATACAATCTTCTGCCTGCATGCCAGCAGAGGGCACCAGATCTCATTCAAGGTGGTTGTGAGCCACCATGCGGTTGCCGGGAATTGAACTCAGGACCTCTGGAAGAGCAGTCAGTGCTCTTAACCGCTGAGCCATCTCTCCAGCCCCTCTGTGGGTTTCAATAGCCCTTTCTTTTTTTCGTTGTGAGCCTAGCCTTTAATGGCTGAGCCATCTCTCCAGCCTCCTTCCTTTTTTAAATTGGGGTCTTACTCTATATCTTGGTTAGCCTCCAACTCCAGACCCTAACCTCCCCTCTCAGTGTCCCTCAAGCTGGCAATGGTCTGTCCCTACTTCTGTCCTGCAGCCTCCTCCTCCCTGACCTTCTGTTTCTTTGTGGTCCCTTTGTCCTGGGTCCTGTGGCAGCCTACCTGTGTCCACATCAGTGTAGCGGCCCAGAGAGCGCTCGGAGGTGCGGTGGCCACGGTCTCGGCGGCGTTGGTGGTACCGTTGATTCTCCTCAGGTGGTACCCGCTCCAGTGAGTAGTCATCCAGTCTTCGGGCTTTGGGTCCCAGCACAGAGGCTGAGCGCTTCATGGGGCTGGTATCAGAGATGGTCTGGGGGAGGGGATAGGTATGGGCATTGTTAATAGCCAGCACTTTTATGGCTTGCTCCTTCCATCCCTGCGACTGATGGGTGACAGAATCAGGGTATATGTGACCATCCAGGGACTGTGTCCAGGGGTGCAGTGGGGGTTTGAGTGTCTGGCTTGCTGGCTGCAAGGGTAGAGCCCTAGGGATACTTAAGTCCACTGACAGAAGTGTTGCTGCTGCTTAGGGTGTATGCTGGGCTTTGGCTAGAAGGCCCTGGCTAAGCCCTTGCCCCTCTGGAGTTAAGGCTGGCTGGCTGGCAGGAAGTATGCTCCACTTGCAGGGTGCAAGCCTGGGAGTCCTGCTTCTCCTTGGTCCAACTCTCCTGACCCTCATCCCCACCCCCCAAAGTCTGGTTCCTATCACCCAGGCCCAGCTTGGGCTGCCCTAGCAGTGGAGGCACTGGAGATCATCCTGAATCTGCATTTACTGTCCCACAATCCTTGGTCTTGCTCTGCCATGGACAGTCTTCAGTTCTCAGTAGCAGGCAGAAGAAGGAAGGCCCACTGGACCAGGCCTGCTCCAACTCTGATGTGCAGGGCCCAGCTCAAGGCGGGAGCTAAAGGGACTTGAGGCAGAAGGCCAGAGGTCACTGGAGGAGCTGGAGGGACAGACCCCCAAGAAAGGGGCAGGGTGAACAGGTTGGCCTCTTAGAGGCTCTGAAGACGAAGTGGGGTCAGCGTGGCCCCTGCATACACAGGACACAACACACAAGGAAGGGGCTCCATAGGGGAGGGGTGGGGTCTGCAACGAGAGGGTGGGGCGAAGGGCAGGGGAGATGGTGGATAGGAGCACACACAGGGCAGGGAGGGAGAGGGGGCTGGAGCCGAGCTGGCCGGGCGCGGTACATACACTGAGGTTATTCCCACGTGGCCGGCCCCTTCTCCTCTGTCCCAGCCCCACAGGGTGGCGCACACAGAAAAAAACAGAAAGAAGGAAATAAATATAAAAGGCAAAAGGGATGGTGAGGTGGTGGGGGCTACATGGAGGAGGGAGTGGCTAGAGAGAGGTGAAGATTTTCTGTGTTGAGTGAGGGGGCGCCCCAGGGCCCAGCAGGCTGTCCCCCACAACGGGCACAGAAGAACCAGGAGACAGACAGATGGCAGAGACACAAGACTGACAGATGGGACAGCAAGGCCACAGGCTCCTGGCCCATTTCATGCGATGCACTGCGGCCCAGCACCCCTCCCCCGCCTCACCCCAGCTTCAGCTCAAAGCTTCCAGGTGGCCATCAGCCCAGCTTGGCTCATCTCTGTTTTGGGGCCAGAAGGCCAGGCCTGACAGAAGGGACGGGGCAGCCACATGCACCCCAAGGTCACAGCAGCCAGAGGCCAGGCCCTTGGGCCATGATGACCCAGCCAGGTGCAGCAAATATGCTTCATAACACAGGGCAAGCTGCCCCAGCCAGGCATGCCGGCCCCCCTCCTCCTGCCCTTTCTACTTGTCCTCAGGGGTGCCTCAGTGGCAGCCTGGGCTTTGTCCCCATCTCTTACTGCGCAGTAGCCAGGCATGCTTTAGTTTCCTCTATCCCCATGGGGGTCTTGCCTTCCCTACAAGGGGCTGAAATAGCTAAGTGAAGCAGCCACACTGAGACACACATATCAGCTACACATCCCACCACCCCACCCCTCCCAGACATGTGACAGAATATGTGCCCCAGGCATCCCAGGCCCACCCAGACTCTGCCTTCAGCGTCCTCAGACATGCCCTGTTCCTGCAGGCAGCAGGACTGTGCATGCACACGAAGAGGCATGATGCCTATAGTGTAAACTGGGAGCACACAGGTGCGTGTGCATGTATGTACAGGCACACATGTAAAGTGTGTGTGCAAAGTGCATGGGTAGCAGGGACATTGTTCGTTGCTCTGATGGGACCCATGTTAGTCTGCCCATGCTAAGCATGGGGTATCATGAGCTCCACATCCAGCTTTAGTGTTAGGGTTCTCTTTTCTTTTTAAAAATTAGTTTACTGTTTGTGTATGTGTGTGAGTTTGTGCACTTGTGTTTAGTCCCGAGAAAGCCAGAAAAGGGTATTAGCCCCCTGGAGCTCCAGTTACAGGGGGCTGTGAGCCATCATTTATTGTGCTGGGAATCAGTCAGGCCTTCAAGACCATTGCAGGCTCTCACCCATGATCCATCTCTCCATCTAGCAGTCAGGAATCTTACGTTCTGTTTTGAGACAGGATCTCACATAGTTCAGGCTGGCTTCAAACTAGCTAGCTAGCAGTGTCTTGCCTTGGATTCCTCATCTCAACCTCCCAAGTGCTGAGATTATGGATGTAAGCCATGTTTGTTTTGAGATATAGTTCAGGTCTGTAGCCTATGGTGGCCTGGACCTCCTCTTCTCAGCCTCCTGAGTGCTGCTGAAGATGGGATTCTCAATGGCACCTCTCACCAGAGCTGTACCCACCCCTTCCTAAGTCCACCCCACTGCCCATTGTGTTCCCAATGGGTCAGAAGGAAGCCACTTGGCAGTGATGGGTACCCAGTCTCTAGCTTCTGGTAGGGAGTGATTAGGAGGGCCAGGCTCTGTGGGTACTCTGAAGGAGCCAGGAAACCTGCAGGAGGGACCACCTAGACCAGTGTCTCTAAAGGAGAGGTACATGGTCCTTAGGAATGTGTGACATGGCCCAGAACCCTGCAAGCTCTCACCTGGTTCTCTGCTGGGAGGCGGGGCATGGAGGCGGCCCTGGCCTGGCCTTCCATGGGGAGGTAGTGTTCGCTGTCTGAGTAGCCATCTGTACCCATTTCTCGCATCTCCACAGACTGTTAGGCAAAGGTTGGTGGGTCTGGGTAAGTCTGGGGCCTGATGATGTGTGTGGGAGACCCTTTCTGCCTGAACCACCAAGCCCGGGGAAGGGGGCAGCAGCACCTGCGAGTTGGGCTGGCTGTTAGGCATGTCACTGGGTGGCCCTCGCTCTGGGCTCCATGTGCCAGTCTTCTGGAACATCTCTTGGGCCCGCTGGGTCACCCAGGATGGGCTCTCCTTCATGCTGCTTTCTTGAGCCATCCTGTACCGGGGACAGAGGCCACAAAGGACATTATGTTCTCGGGGATTCAGGAACCTGGGGCCTGATACCCATCCACAGCTGCCCAGTTGGATACTCACAGGCCTCCTCCTGGGTCTAGCTGAGTAGAGGGAAGGGCATTCTGGCTGGGCCCTCCCTCTTGTGTTGGTGATGGAGGCTCCATGCGCTGGAACATGAGTGGTGTCCGGTTCTGGGAAGGCAAGAAAGCAGTGAGTGTCTGCAAGCAGGACTGGAAGCTAGCTAAGGCTGGCACTGTGATGCTTTGGAGCCTGCCCTGGAACTCACCCTGTAGATCAGGCTGGCCTCGAACTCACAGAGATCCCCCTGCCTCTGCTTCCTAAGTGCCAGGACTAAAGGTGTGCACCACCAACACCTGGCTGGTTTTTTTTTTTTTTTTCTTTTAAGGATGGGCCTTTCCTGGCTAACCTGGAACTCATAGAGATCTGCTTGCTTCTGCCCCTCTAGTGCTCTAGTTAATTTTTATCTTTTACTTAAAATTATTCATTGATTTTGTGTATTATGTATACATGAATAAATAATTTATCTTTTGCGCACGCATACACGCCACAGAGAATGGAACTCAGGTCCTCAAAGACAAGAACCTCTACCCACTCAGCTGTCTCGACACTCTGCCAACTTCTGACATTGTGACAATGTTGTCATCTATAAAATTCATGTTGTAGACCCATGTAATCAAGTTACACACATGACTTCCACCCAAATTCATTCACAACTATCTACCCTTTACCATCTTCAGCCTCCTCATCCTCACCTCCAATCAGTACAGAAAAACCTCTCTATGTAGTTCTCCCATATACAGCCACCAGATGGTGCCAGCGAGCACCCAGTAGTACTTAGACCTCTCTTCTGCTCCTATGCCATTGAGTCCACCCTGCGGTCTCCAGGGTTTAATCCTGTACTCTCCATGCCCTTGTCTCCTCCCATGTTCTGTCTTGCTCTGTTCTGTCACCTTGACCTCTTCAATATTTCCTAAACTCATCAGGCAAGGTCCAGCCTTCGGGCCTTGTACAGGCTGCTGTGTCTGCCTGGAATGCTGTTGTCTAACAGTTTACTCTGATATTGAAACATTCCATCTTGCAGTGATGTTCTTTAAGGCACGAGGCAAACAACTCAAAATTAAGGAAATCCCTGAAACTGACCAGATTCACTAGTCCCCTCCCTGCCTAAGTAAGTAATAAAGACTGCTAAGAGTCAGTTGGAGAGGTGCCACACTGCACTTAAAACCTGAGATGAGAACATCTGCCTAGCTCCTTCTGCCATTTCTCTGAGGAGGCAGATCTCTTTTTCTCTTCACTCTCCCCCCCTCTCCCCTTCCACCAATAAAACTCCGTCCCATGTTTCAAAACAACAACAACAACAACAAAAACACAACTGCCTAGAAGTGGAAACCAGCTGAGCTGCCTGGAAGAGGTTTATTTCAACTGAGTCACTTGGAAAGGACACTTTCAAGCCCGTTGATGGTGGCACATGCCTTTAGACCCAGCACTTGGGAGACAGAGGCACGTGGATCTCCAGTTCAAAGCCAGTGTGAGTTACAGGATAGCCAGGACTACACAGAGAAACCCTGTCTCAAAAAAAAAAAAAAAAAAAAAAAAAACCAAACAACCCCCCAAACAAAAACAAAACAAAAAACACAACAACAACAAAACAAACAAAAAACCCCACTACCATCAACAACAAAAAAACCTAACCCAAAAAACCTGAAAGACCCTTCCCATCCTGCTGTGTCACCTGTGCTCCAGGTCCTCAGCTTTTGTGAGCTCTCCCCACGCTGGAGTGGGTTTTGGTGATGCTCTGCCTTTGAGTTATTTCTGATTCTTAAATAACCCCAATAAAACTCATGTTCTCCAAGCTGAACTTTGGTCTGTCGTGGGCTCCCTATCTGGGGTGAGAGTTAGGCCTCTCCTGGAAAAATTTTGTCACACAACAAATGTCCCACCCTGGAAATAAACCCCCTCCTTCATTTATCTGGTTGAGCTTAAGCTCATAGAGGTCTGCTTGCCTCTGTCTCCCTCGTGGTAGGATTAAAGGCAATGGGCCACCATACTTGACCCTCCTTCATTTAAAAACTCCTTTACTGTTTTATGTGTATAAGTTTCCTGTCTGCATGCACCACGCGTGTACCGGATGCCTGAGGATCTCAGGGACTGGAGTTACAGTAGGCCACTATGTGGGTGCTGGGAACTGAATTTGAGACCTCTGAAAGAGCAGATGGTGCTTTTGACTGCTGAGCCACCTCTCCAGACACCCCCTCCCTCTCCTTTGGTTTTTCAAGACAGGGTTTCTCTGTAGCTTTGGAGCCTGCCCTGGAACTCACTCTGTAGACCAGGCTGTCTTCGAACTCACAGAGATCTGCCTGCCTCTGCCTCCCAAGCGCCGAGATTAAAAGTGTGTGCCACCATCACCTGGCTCTCTTTTTGTTTGAGACGAGGTTGTCTTGATGTGGCCTACACTCTTTTTGTAGACCAAGCTGGCCTGAAACTCATAGAGATCCACCTTCTGCCTCCCAAGTCCTGGGATTAAAGGTATTCATCACCATATTTGTCTTCCTATTTTATGTGTATGTGTGTAGGCCTAAGTGTGTATTTGTGTACTACACATGATCAGGTGACCACAGAGGCCAACGACCCCCCAAACAAAAACAAAACAAAAGGCCAGACGAGGGCTTCAGATCCCCTGGAACTGAAGATCCAGGTAGTTGTGAGACACACTGTGTGTGGTGGGAACTAAACACAGTCTCTCTGCGAGAGCAGCACTGGCTCTTAGCTCTTAGCTGCTGAGCCATGTCTTCAGCTGTTTCACCTCACCTCAGTTCTATTCAGGTGTCACTTCCTCTGGGAGAGTGTCCTTGACAGCCCATTTCACACCACACATATGTTTATATATAGCACTGTATGGTCTTTGGTTGGTTCTACTTTGCCCAACACACTATTTGCCACTATGAAAACCCTCATTTAGTTTTTTCAACTACCTCAAGGCAAGTATCCAGGCCAGGACCTGAAACAGTGACCTGCACAGGCAGATACTCAGTACCTGTTGGAGTTGAAAATTTTTCGAGGTTAGGTGTTCCTGAAATGTCCCACCCTCACCATGCTCCTTGTTCTGATTGGTTTCCACGAAGACAGACCTGGAACCCCGCCCTGGGCACCCCAGCAATGGGAGTACCTGCTCCTCTCGCATGGCCTGGAGCTTCTTGGCCTTGCTCTGCCGGTAGTACTCCATGATCATCATAGCTGCGTAGATCTTACCGACCGTCAGGTCTGTGGCTGTGGAGGACAGGCAAGCTCTCACATAGCCCTGGCCCCTCTCCGAGCCTCCCCTGCCCCTCCCTGGATTTGCTCTTACACTTGTGAGGTGTGACCAGCAGATCCAGGGTCTTCTGGGATAGGTTGGGCCAAATGGCCATCATCTCCTTTCGGAGCTCTGCATCCATTTGCTGTTTGTCGGCTCCGCCTACAATGTTGGGAGATAAGAGGTTGAGGATCTGCAGAGCTGGGGTCTGGGGCCACTGTGGGTCTACAGCCAAGACCCACAGGCTGGAAGGGCCAGAATCGCCATCCTGGCTTCCACTTACCACTGTGTTCCTAGGGTTGGCTGCCATTACCTCAGTTTCCCCATTGGTGAAACCATCAGGGTGGGTCACAGCACTTGCCCTATCTGGCTGTTTTCTGATCCAAGCCGTGTATGTGTGTGCCACCTTGGGACAGCACCTCCAGACCATTACTGTCACAGTGCTGAGGCTTTGACCCCTTGACCTAGGCTGGAGTTCAAGTCCATAAACTGGTTGGCATCAGAGTTTTGGGAGGGACTGCTTTGGGTGCTGGGGATAGAACCCAGGACCCTGCATACAGTAAGTAAGAGCCATACCACTGAACCATACCCAGAATGTCTGTGATTGAAGCAGCTGATAGTTGGGACCAGGAAAGTTTATCAATCAGGTTGGAGACATAAACGTCTATATAGCATATGTGAATGTGCATATTTGCTTGTGTGCACACATGTGGAGGTAAGAGATGAGATGAGCCTTGCCTGTCAGTCCTCAGTAGCCATCTACCTTGTTTTTTGAAACAGGATTTCTCACTGGCCTGGGATTCACCCAGTTAGGCTAGGGTGGCTTCAAGTGGAGACCCTGGGATTCATTTGTTTCCACCTGCCCAGTGCTGGGATTAGTATTTGCTGCTCTACACAGGTTCCAGGGACTCAAGGGATCCTCATTGTACAGCAAGCTTTACTGACTAAGCTGTCTCCCAGCCCCTAGTTTTCTGCTGTTGTAAACCTTTTTTTCACAACGTGTGTGTATGCATGTGGGGCTCCAGATTGGGACCGCAGGATTGTGGTCCTTCAAGACAGGGGCATGAGCATTTGGAGGATTCAGCATCCTCCGTGTGTCCCTTCACTTTGTCACCAAGGCTAGTGACAGTAGGGCCAAAGAGTATTTTTCAAGCCCATCCTCTTTTTGGTGTTTTGAGGCTGGGTCTCACTAAACAGCCACTAAATGGCCTGGAACTCATAATCCTCTGTCCAAGCCTCTGCAGTGCTGGTATCATCGTGCATCATGGCACCAAGCTTCCTCAGGCCTTTTTTTTTTTTTTTTCTTTTTTTTCTTTTTCGAGACAGGGTTTCTCTGTGTAGCTTTGGAGCCTGTCCTGGCACTCGCTCGGGAGACCAGGCTGCCCTCGAACTCACAGAGATCCCCCTGCCTCTGCCTCCCGAGTGCTGGGATTAAAGGCGTGCGCCACCAACGCCCGGCCCTCAGGCCTATCTTTAAGGGACTCTAGTCAACAGAGTCCCACACCACAAACAGGAGGTAGACAGCAGGGAAATGACCCATTTTTGTTTGAGCCACAGAAACCTTGGGACTGTTACAGTGACATCCTTCACCCTTCATCATAACTGACACCTCTGCCTGGCCCCCCACCTCTACCTGTGTGGCCCCCTGAAACTGGAGTGAAGTTCCAGACATTGGAGGCTCGGTGGTGTGGCTCCTTTAGTATCCTAGTTGTCAATTTGACACAGCCTTGTTATAGTCGCCTGAGAAGAGAGATCAGATGGGCGTAGGGGGCTCAACAGTTCCCCAGGCAGGTGATCCTGGGCTGTATGAAGAAGCCAGTTGAGGACTTAAGAGTTTGCTCATTGTTTAAGAGCACTTGCTGCTCTTACAGAGAACCCAGGTTCAATTCCTGAACCCAGAGGGCAGCTCAGAACCATTCGCAACTCCAGTCCCAGGGGATCAGATGTGCTTTTCTGACCTCTGCATGCAGGTGGTAGCCATACTTGCAGGCAAAAGACTTAGGCACATAAAATAAATAAAACAAGCCTAAACAAACAAACACTTAAAAAAGTAAAGAAGCCAGGTATGGTGACATACGTCTTTAATCCCTGTACCTGAGAGGCAGAGGCAGATGGATCTCTGAGTTTGAGGCCACCTTGGTCTACAAAGTGAGTTCCAAGACAGCCAGAGCTGTTACACAGAGAAACCCTGCCTCGAAAAAAATCAAAAAACAAAAACAAAAAACCCAACCCCCAAGCAAAAAACCCGAACAACAACAAAAACAAGCTTGCTAAGGTCTGGAGAAATTGCTCAGTGGTTAAGAACACATACTACTGGGGCTGGAGAGATGGCTCAGAGGTTAAGAGCACTGACTGCTCTTCCAGAGGTCCTGAGTTCAGTTCCCAGCAACCACACATGGTTGCTCACAACCATCTATAATGCCCTCTTCTGGTGTGCAGATATACATGGAAGCAGAATGTTGTATATATAATAAATAAAATCTTTTTTAAAAAAATAACACATACTACTTTTGCAAAAGACCCAAGTTCTGTTCCCAGGACCACAACTGCCTTTAACTCAAGCTCCAGGAACCCAAGGGATCTCATACCCTTTTCTAGCCTCTGCAGGCACTAAGCACACATAGGATGTGCAGACATACATGTAGACAAAACACCCATGTATAGTAAACAAATAAAAACTTGCCAGGTATAGTGGCACAATTTCACATGCCTGATGATGAGAGTTGGTTCACTCTTTCCACTATATGGGTTTGGGAAGCTGGACACTGATTTTCAGACCTGGTGACAAGCCCCTTTGCCTACTGAGTCTTCTCTCGCGGACACCACCTCACCTTTTGGGACAGGGTCTCTCCCTGAGCCCAGAGCTCAATGATTTGTCTAGACTGGCGGTAAAGTGGGTTCTAGGGATCCACCTGTCTCTGTTCTCCAGAGCTGTGTTTACAGATGTGCATCACCACATCCAGCTTTTATTCGGGTATCGAGGATCCAAACTCTGGTCCCCACGCTTGGGCGATAGACACTTTATTGACTGAGCCGTATCCTCAGCCATTTTTTCTGCTCCCCCCGCTCCCTGCTATGGTTCAGTCACGCTGACTCCATGGAGTTCCTTAGATGTACCAGACATGGCCCTGCTTCAAGGCCTCTGAACACGCAGCTTTCACTACAGTGACTGTTCTTATGTGTGGCCACCTCGTACATCTCTTTCAGGTCTCTGTTCAAATGTTTTACTAACTAAAAAGGCATACTGAGGGACCTACCATCTCTTTACATTTTACTTTTATTTTTTAAGAGGGTCTCACTATGTAACCCTGGTTGGCCCAGAACTTGCCATGTAGATCAGAATGCCCTCAAACTCACAAGATCCACCTGTCTCTGCATCCCAAATGCTGGGACTAGAGACATACACCACCACTCCAGCCTTTTAAATTATTTTTTATTTTGTGTGTATGATTTTCTTGTGTGTAGGTATGTGCATCATGAGTATTTCTAGTGCCTATGGAAACTAGAAGAGGGTGTCAGATCCCCTGGAACTGGAGTTACAGGTGTGAACCAAACCCAGGTCCTCTGCAAGAGCAGCATGTGCTCTCAACTGCTGAGCCATCTCTCCAGGCCTACTGTTTCTTGGGTTTGCATTTTGATGGAATTATTATGGAGCCATAGATGGCTAGAACTCATAGGTAGGCTACCACAGCATAGCAGACTTCCCCCTTTACCCCTCAGCTCCACTGTGGTTGGACAGAGTAACATTCATGTGTGGATAGAGCTGGAAAGGACTCTCTCTGGAATCTTCAGAAGAGCTCAGCCTAACTGACATCTCGACTTTGGCCTCGTTGGACACTGAGCATGGAGCCATGGTGCCTGCTTGTGCTAAAGTGCTATTTTTTTTAAATGGTATGTTTTATTTAATCTAGGCTGAACTTCAATCAAATTGATTCTATTCATTTGTGTGTGTGCCTGTGTGGGCTCTTGTAAGGTCAGGGGAAACCTGTGGGAGTCATTCTCTTTCTCCACCATGTGGATCTCAAGGATCAGACTCAGGTTGTCAGACTTTTAGCTCTTGTGTGTTGGGGTGTGCGCTCTGTGCACAGGTGTGTGGTGTGTGCTCTGTGTACAGGTGTGGGGTGTTGCTCTGTGCACAGGTGTGTGGTATGTGTTCTATGCATAGGTGTGGGATGTGTGCTCTGTGCACAGGTGTGTGGTGTGTGCTCTGTGCACAGGTGTGGGGTGTTGCTCTGTGCACAGGTGTGGGGTGTTGCTCTGTGCACAGGTGTAGCCCCCGCATACAGAGGCCAGAGCTGGATTTCTGGTGCCCTTCTCTAGTTGCCCTCTGTCTACTCTCTTGAGACAGAGTCTCTCTCTGAGCCTAAAGCTCACAGTTTTGGCTCTCAGGATCTGCCTGTCTCTGTCCAAGAATACATGAGCTATGACGCAACAGTAATGCTCTAGGTTTTGTTGTTTTTGTTGTTGTTGTTGTGTGTGTGTGTGTGTGTTTGAGCATGTGGATTTTCAGGTCCTTATATTTGCACAGCAAATGCTTTCATTCACTGAACCATCTCCCCTGCCACAATGCTTGTGTTTTAAGGCACAAAACTTGTTTTTTTGCATGTGACATAGCCAGCTGACACAAAAAGATTGATGTTCACAGAGGTTGAGGTCAAGGATGTGAATGTCCTACTTAACACTACAAAAACAAACACTCCCTTGTGTCTCCTGGGCTGAGACAGGTAGAGGTGATGTGGGGAGAACCTGGGTCCTAAACAGTGACACATCCAGCTGCCTACTGAGTAAGACCTGCTAGTTCTAGTAAGATCTAGAACCCCTGGTGCAAGACAAGGGTTCTTTCCTCCTCCTGCCCCCCTCTCACTGCTCCTTTCTCTTTCTCCACCTAACTAGACCAGGCTGGCCTTGAACCCTTGAGCTTCCTGTTTCAGCTTCCTAAGCACTGAGACTATAGTGTGTGCTAGCTGGCTGGCTACTCTATTTTGTATGATTTTTTTATTATAAGTTGTTACAGGGTAGGGTCTGAACAAAAGAGATTAGTCTCAGGAATACAAGAAGGGGATAGGTATGAGAGGATAAAAAGGTAGATTATTAAATATACTTACAACTAAAAAGCAATTATCAGTTTTAAATAATTTACATTGGTGTGGATTCTTGTATAT